GGGAGAGGGAGAAGCAGGCCTCCCGCAGAGCAGGGAGCCCGATGCGGGGCTCGATCCCAGGACCCCGGGATCAAGACCCGAGCCGAAGGCAGACGCTTAACGACTGAGCCACCCAGGCGCCCCTTAAGTTTATTATTTTTAAGTAATCTCTACACCTAACATGGGGCTCAAACTCACAACCCAACTCATGCGCGCACATGCTCTCTCTCAAATAAATAAAATCTTTAAAAGAAATACAAAGTAGGGGCGCCTGGGTGGCTCAGTCGTTAAGCGTCTGCCTTGGGCTCAGGTCATGATCCCAGGGTCCTGGCATCGAGCCCCACATTGGGCTCCCTGCTCCTCGGGAAGCCTGCTTCTCCCCCTCCCAGTCCCCCTGCTTGTGTTCCTGCTCTCGTTATCTCTCTCTCTCTGTCAAATAAATAAATAAAATCTTTAAAAAAAATAAATACAAAATAAAAGTAAAATAAAACCCTGAGGGAGGGCAGGCTGGTGAGTTATGCTGCTTCCTATTGAAGTTACTGGGTGATTGTCATTTTTCCTTCTGCTTCCATGCCTGCTGCACAGCCCTGCCAACTACCTGCCCTTCTCTGTTCGTGCGTCTTCCATCCTGGTGCCTGTCAGGCCGGTCTCAGCCCCTCAGTAGCCCTTGTGGTTCTTACTATGATTGCAAGATGCCCCTTAGCAACAACCATTAGGAAATTTTGAAGAAATAAAAGTATTTTACTTATGAGGCCTGGAAATGACACAGAACACCTGGGGCTACACAGCAAGGTCGTCGGTAGAGAGAGTGCTCACGGGGGCCTGGGGTTATGCGTTTATTAGGGTCAAGGGTGGGGGCATAGGGTTTCATGGGCTTACTATCGGTGAGTTTGAAACACAAGCATGGGAAGAGAAAAAACAAGCGGCCCAAATGGTCAGTTACCAAAATCAACCGCGGTGCCTCGGTGGGGTGAGGGGCCCTGCTCTCCATCTTGTTGTTGTGGCCATGTGTTCCTGGGAGAAAGTGTCTTTGAAGTAGAAGCCTCTTTGAAATGGATGCCTCAGCAATCAAAGCTTAAGTCAGACACTTGCATTACAAAAAAGAAACAAAATAACTGGAATATAAGCCCTCACCACAGTGCCTTTGCCCTGGCTGCTTCCTTGGCCCTTCTTCAGGCTCAGCTTAGCCATCCTGGAAGCTTCCCCAGGCCCACCAGTCTGATAGAGTTGTGTCTTTTGTGTGTTCCCCTAGAATTTGGGCTTTCCGTTATCATAGTGCTTACCTCCCTAAACAATTGTCTGTTTATCCGTCTGCCCGCTTCCCCTGCTGCCCACAAGACTGAGTGGCAGGGCGTGTGCCTTGTGCACCTCTGTTTTCCCACGGTCTGCATGGTAGGCCATCAAGAGATAGTTGTTGAACAAATGAGTGGAGCCGAGACATGTCCATGTCATTCTCCTCTTGGCACGCCTGCTGCTCCTGGCTGACCCCTCTGCCACTGCAGTCATTGCCCTGGGTTGAAATCTACCCATTTCATATTTCTACCTCTTTACCATCCCAGCCAGAGAGCAGGCTCTTTTAGGGACCAGCTCTCACCCCCTTCTCTGTCTCCATCATCTGGCAGAATGTGTGGTGATTCTTGATATTACTTTTCCCCCCAAAACTATTAAAGGATGAGAAAACTGTTCCCATAAAACTAAGAGCAATTAAGTTGAAACTTGGTTCTGCACTCGGTTTGACTTCCTCTTTTAGAATCATTTTTGGGAAGTACAACAAAGTTCCTCTTCACATTTCCCTACCAAAGTCGCCTTTGGAAAGTTTGGGGTACCCCAGGATCCCCATGAAGGCTTTCCTTAGCAGGCACACGTGGTGTTCCCTCATCCTCTGGACCCCTTCCCTGGGCCTGCACCATCTTGGGGAAGCCAGGGATTAGGGCTCATATTCCTGTTTGCCCAGTTTCTCATCCCCCCATGTTCCAAAGCCCATAGTGATGCTTGAGCTCCTTCTCTCCTGTTTAGTGGCCCCACCCCATCCGATGCCATGTTTTTGCAACAGGAATTTATTGAATCAGTAATTTTTCTCGTCCTCCTGCATCATTCCCATGAGCACACAAACATGCTGTTATTTCTCCTGTCTCAAAAACAAGGACTTGGGCGCCTGGGTGGCTCAGTTGGTTAAGCGACTGCCTTCGGCTCAGGTCATGATCCTGGAGTCCTGGGATCGAGTCCTGCATCGGGCTCCCTGCTTGGCAGGGAGTCTGCTTCTCCCTCTGACCCTCCTCCCTCTCATGCTCTCTGTCTCTCATTCTCTCTCTCTCAAATAGATAAATAAAATCTTAAAAACAAAAAAAAACAAGGACTTAATCACACTGGTTTGTCCCTCTTCCGAGTGGACAAACATCTCCTCAGAGGTTTAGTGTCTGTAAAGGCAGAACCAAGCCAGGGCTCACCTGCCAGGCACCGTTTTCCCCTCCTTGTCCCAACCCAGTGTGAAGCGGCTGCCCACCTTCTCATGGCTGCCCCTTGCCATGGCTTCAAAAGGGTTTTCTAGTCTGAGGAGACATAGTAGGCCATTTGTGATGATTGGCCTTCCCCCTTTCAGTGCTTGACCAGGTTCTCTGCTGCCTTGGATCTCATGTGCCCTGGGCAGGGAGGGATCTGAGAACACTCCAGACGGCAGCTTTTCCTTTTCCCCTGGCATCCTGGTCTAAGCTGGTGGGCTTATAAATGTGTCAGGCATACATGAAGCTCGAGATACAAGACTTCCTGTCCCAGTGGTCACCATGCCTCCTGGCAGAAGCCCACACTTCCTGCTGTCACACATGCCCCTGCTCAGAAGAGCAAACCACAGAGCTATAAATCTCTCCACTTGGCATTTGCCAACTGCAACAGCGAGTATCTCCAATGGTTAAGAGCCCTGCTGCTGGCCCGACAGCCTGTGAGAAAATGGGGAACTTGAGGAAGTTCTCCAGGAGAGGGCAGGGAAGTTTACAGATACTGAGGAGTCCTTAGAATGGCGGGGCCACGGTCAATTGCAATAAACATCTTTTCCTAGGCCTCATACCCAAGGACGTAGCTCATTCTAGGTCAGGGGTAAGTGGGGAGCCGAGGAGCCCTAGGTCTTCCCTAGTAGCTCCTGTGGCATGCAGAGCCATGTTTCTTTGGAACATCATTCTCTTTTCTGAGCATGGACTAAGCTTTCCCTGATCATTTTACCTCAATGCTTGGCTCTTTCTGAGATTCCTGTTGCACTGAGGAAAGTTCCTTTTAATTGTTTTAGTGTTTCTCAACAGGGCATGATAGCTTTGGGCCAGACAATTCCTGTCCTGCTCCACCCCCAACCTTTAGGACATGCAAAACACGCCTCTCGTCAGATGCCCTCTGGGGCGTCCCAATCCCGGATTGGGAAACACTGTGATTTACGAGGTGAATGCTTAAGTGTCTTCCATCTTTAAAAAAAAAAAAAATTCAAGGGGTACCTGGGTGGCTCAGTCGTTAAGCGTCTGCCTTCGGCTCAGGTCACGATCCCAGGGTCCTGGCATCGAGCCCCACATCGGGCTCCCTGCTCAGTGGGGAGCCTGCTTCTCCCTCTGCCTCTGCTGCTCACCCTGCTTGTGCTCTCTTGCTGTCAAATAAATAAAATCTTTTTTAAAAAATCCTTTGGGGGCACTGGGGTGGCACATACGGTTGAGTCATGGGATTGAGCCCTGAGTCGGACTCTGTGCTCAGCGTGTAATCTGCTTTAGATTCTCTCTCCCTCTCCCTCTCCCCGTCCCACTGTTTGCTCTGTCTCTAAAATAAAATTTAAAAAAATCCTTTGGCCCAGAGCTCTCCCACTTTATAGTCAGACATCCCTAAAGAATTGGCTGTACTCCCCCTCTCTACTTTTTCTTTTACCTCACACTCATTACTAGTTCTTCCATCCTCACTTGAGTTCAAATCCCTTCCTGCAGCTGGACACCTTAGTTAATTTCTCTGAACCTCAATGTTCTCATACAGAAAATGGACATAAAAATAGTTACCTCTCCCATAGGATATTTTTGGAGACTAAATGGGTTCTGGTAGAGCACTTGGGGGTTTACAGAAAGACAGTCGTCAACTTCAGATGATGAAGTCAAATGTATATGATTCTTCCTTTCTTGTTGAGCAACTCTCTAGAAGTTAAATAACAGTGTTAGGTGATACAATGGTGGGCACTCCTCATCTGTGTCTGATTTGAATGTCTGATCTTGGCTTTTGGACTGAGCCGGATGGTGGTAAGAAAGCTTTCTTATTCGTCACTAAGGTTTTTTTTCAGCGTGAGTATACATCCGTTTCTTTTACGTACCTTTGCCGCATCCGTGGTGACGATTGTACGACTCCAGTCCTGAGGACCCGTCCTTACAGTCATTGAATAAAACAGACTCGAAGATGGTGCATTAGTCATTTCATCCAAAGCTGGGTGGACTTGCATTTCCTTGTTGAGTTTTCTGCCGTCCTTGTCATGAAGCAAGCGCCGTGGGTGCAGTAACTCCCTGTCGCATCGCCTCTCCGCAGGCCTGGCGCAGGCGCTGGTTTGTCCTCCGGCGGGGCCGCATGAGCGGCAACCCCGACGTGCTGGAGTACTACAGGAGCAAGCACTCGAGCAAGCCCATCCGCGCCATCGACCTGAGCGAGTGCGCCGTCTGGAAGCACGTGGGCCCTGGCTTCGTGCGGAAGGAGTTTCAGAATAATTTCGTGTTCATTGTCAAGACGACTTCTCGTACCTTTTATCTGGTGGCCAAGACCGAGGTGGAAATGCTGGTGTGGGTGTACAGCATCAGTCAGGTCTGCAACCTCGGCCAGCTGGAGGATGGCGCAGGTGAGAGCAGAGCTGGGGTTCCTGTGCGCGGGGCGGGGGTGGGGGGGTGGCCGCGGGAGGGGCCGGGGACGAGGCCCGCCCGCCTCCTCAAGCGTGTCTGGACAGGCTGCTTGATATCAGAATTGTTCCCACAAAGTACACGGCTAGAGGTGCCTTCCTTCCACCTGGTTCTAGATTTTAGGCCTGAACGTGCCACATCCTGAACGTTACAAGTGACTTCAGTGGCTTCGAAGCCACTCCACAGCTTTGCTTGCATCAGCCACAGACAACAGATGCAGTAAAAGTAGAATGTGGGTGACGATGTCCTGGAGGGCTCTGGTTTTCCCCACGCTGTTGCTGCTGCTGATTTCCGGAAAATATTAAATATCAGTGTTTTTCGGTAATTCACAGAACTCCAGTTTTTCTGTTGTCGACTGGGTTGTTCAGCCCGGGGACGTAGAAGGACAGAAGTCGGCTACTTCTCATAGGCAGGGAAGAATTTCTCATATCTCCAATCAGCTTGAGCTGTGTGCAGGACAAATTAGCTCTGAGGTTGCCCTGGGCCACTCCTGGGCTTGCTCACTCTTGCTCTCTCTTTCATACACATGCAAGCACATGTATTCCTACGTATTGTGCACCTAGCGTTACATTTCACTTACCTTCATGGAGTTTGCTGGGGAGCCCCTGATCCTCAACCTGTTGAGATCTTGACTCTGATTTCCTTTAGCATGTTAATCAGTCCTAAGTTCCAGTGGCCAATGGCTTCAACGTCTCCACCCTTACTGTATGCTTATCACCTGCCACGAAAACACACACTGGAACGCTAGGTGGCGGTGGGGAGTCAGCTGCAGCTCTCTAGGGTGGCACAGGACCGTGTGCTTCCTGAGGACAAAATCCTTTTCTTTTCATGAACCTGGGAAGCTTAGTAAGTGCAGTTAGCTATTCAGTCACATTACTGAGCTTCGAAAGCACTGAAATAAAAGGAAATGAAGTGATGGCAAGCTCTTTATCCTTGCTACAACAGATGAAGCCTACTTGCAAAGTTGCAGTGAATCCTTCCTGGCCAGAGTCCAACTCAGTGCAAACAGACTGTCCCTGACCAATTCTTCCAGGCTTGCCGCTCACTCTCTGCCACCTTAGTCCCTACCTTCAGCCCAAACTACATAGATATCCGTGTGCAATGTTATGTGTCTCCTCTATTTCTTTCCTCATCCGGGAGTTATCCTAAAACATAGATATATAACATGTTTCCCAGTATCCAAAGTGGAACAGGAATGAGTCAGACACCAGGCAGAAAGTGGACAGGTCTGGTGGGAATTTGGAGGAAGCCAGAAACCACCCCCTATGACCTTTATCATTCCCTATACCCCACCCCCCCTTAGTTTTTAAGAGGATGTAAGAGTAGAGTCCTCTTCATCTGAGAACCACGCCCAGAGGCCTTTCTTGTGGCTTTTCACATACAGCGTTTGGTCCTGTATCCAGCAACCCTAGCTAGTCAACGCATCATGTGCACTGTAGCCAGGAGCTCTGCTAAATGCTCTTGTGTATTAGCTCAGCTTATCCTCAGAGCGATTTGGTGGTGTATGTGCTTTACAAAGAAGGAAACTTGCAGCAGGTAGGTAGCAGGCCTACGGTTCCAGTAGAGCCTGGACTTGAACTCAGGCAGTTCTTGGCCACTCGGACTCAGGAATCCTGAACTTCTGCCAGCGTGGTTCAAAGGGGAAATAAAAGCCGGCTTTTCATTGGAAGTCTCTGAATATCATGCTCCTTGAGAAATGTCGGCTTTACCAGCCATCACACCCTATTTCTTTCTTTCCTTTTCCTTACACATCATTACCATTATTCTTTATTTATGTTTTATTTGTCTGTCTCCTCTAGCGGACTGTAGACTCCAGTGAAGGCAGAGTCTGTCTTGGCAGAGTTAGAACAGTTCTGCACGCATAGTAGGCGCAATAGGAGGTATTCTGCCTAGACAGAAATACCCATATATCTGCATATGCAGATATATGCATATGTACACATGCATATGTAAGTATGTACATACATGTTATGCATAAATATACGTGTGTGTGTGTGTATTTGTTGAGTGAATAAACAGTAATGCAGGGCTACGGCCGAGAGCCATAAAGAAGCTGCGAGTAGACTATGTTACTGCAGATTTTTAGGCCAAGAATGCTTGGCTTTTTTTACTCTTAATTGATTCAACACTTCAGTCTTGGAACATTGGCCTTCTTCCCCAGACATTGTTTATAGCTTGGGGAAATGGTCTCCTCCATCAGTACAAACACCAGCTGTGATTTGCATCTTCTATTTGGCCTCGTAGATGCTGTTTGAGATTTGTGAGTGAGTGCTATAGCCATTCTTAAACGTTAACCCAGGAAATGATTTCTCCAGCAGATTCCATGGAGAGCTTCTCTCGCATGCCCTGCTCCCTCCAGCCATCCCCTGCCAGCTCCCTTCCCACCTCCTTGCCGAGAGATGACCTAAGCACGAATTCCGTAGCCGCCGAGGAAAGCAGAAGTGAGTCAGAGTTTCTCTCCCTTCCTGATTATCTGATTCTGTCCAACTGTGAGACTGGAAGACCGCGGCACACCAGGTATGCTCATGTGCACGTCTCTCTGTGTCTGTGGAACCTCCGCTGCCTTCTCTGGCAGGCTCTAGTGCTGACATGTGTGCTCAGCATGCCTGACCAAATCAGTCCATTTAGCTGTAGCATCTGCTAGCGGGTGTGTCTCCCCTCACCTCTTCCTGCGGCAGCCAAGGTGGGGACAGATCACCATCAACCACTATGAGGGCTGAGTCATGCATGTGGCTTTCATGTCTAACCTTGAATTTTCATATGTATCTGACACCGATAGGATGACAAAAATCAACAAACCATTGGTTCCTGCATCCAGGCATTGGTGAGGGCTGTGGAGGGAATGTGGAAGCATGGGAAAGAGGCCAGCATGGGTTTTGTCGTGAATAGGTGGCCTTCCTCTTCTGACTTCTGCCAGGGACTTGCTCCATTTCAGTCACATTTATATGCTTTTTTCCCCGCAGTCTGCCCACCAGATGTGATAGCTGGTCAAACTCAGACCGCTCATTGGAACAGACTTCATTTGATGACGTTTTTGTTGACTGCCTGCAGCCCGTGCCCCCCAGTAACTTGGCCCACCCCTCACGCCATGGGAGTGGCTCTCAGAAGGCGCCTTCCCTGAGGCCTCAGGCTGCCCTGATATGGAGCAGAGATATCAATGGGCCAACCAGGGATCACTGTTCTTCACCATTGCCAGAAACTTCCTTAAATTCCACCATTCAGGTAGATAAAAACCAAGGTTCCTTGCCCTATGAGGCAAAAGAACTAGACATCATGTGCAACATGCCACCTCCCCGCCCCCCAAAGCCAAGCCATCTCTCTGAACGGCGCCCAGAGAAGCAGCTCAAGAAGCCAGAGTGCACTATGGCACCAAGAAGAATCTCTCTCTCTGGTTTAGATAACATGAGGACCTGGAAAGGTAAGTGTTGGATGCTGACAGTGAGAGTGAAGCCTGCCTCCTCTTTACTCCTTGTGTCCACACGAGGACATTGCAAGTGTCCCTGACTCAAGCCAGGCTGGTCTTCCAATAGAGCCAGGCCATTGGTGGAAGCACACACCCTGAATGCTCGAAATTCCCCTTCAAGTCTGGCCACCAGTAGAGATCCTTAAGTCCCTGTGGCCGCTGAAGGAAGTCAGAGCCCTTGTCCCTTAGCCATGCCTCTGTCCGTGTGATGGGCTCCCTACCTGAGACTAAGCTCCTGGTGTTTGTTTGGAGTTACTCAGGGTCCCACTCGGTACAGAAGGTGATATATTTTGCCTCCGTTCAGCCAGATTCCATTCTTTGGCTCTCACGTGCTTAGTGAGAAGTGTGATGGTAGACCATAGCTCTTTTCTTTTCCAGCAATCCCATCGGCCCTATTCCTCCTCCCACCTGACACGTTCTTTCCAGGTTTTAGTGGTAGAGCTTTTTACCAAGTTGTCACCATTAAGATAATTCTCACCCAGCCCTATCAGCTTGGTCTGTTGGCATGCCCTCCTGGAGCCCTCTTTTGCCTTTCTCTGTAAAGCTGTTTATTCTGATGGGGTTGCCTTGCTGCCTCCTCTCTCCCCTCTCCCTCCCTCTCTCCACCCCCGCCCCCCCCGCCAGTGTTCCAACTGAATATGATCAATGTAATCACTCCCACACTGCTACCTATAAGGTCATATCTTAAAGGAATTCTGCAAGTTTAAGAAATGCAAACCCATTTCAAATTGTGTCAATTTCTCATTCTGACTGTGGAGCTAAGGCACTCTGGCAGAGACCTCCCCCAGTGCCCCTAGTGATGCGACCTTTACACGTTACTTTCTGCCAACCTCGATGAGATGAGTGTAGCTGAGTACACAAAGGGTCCTAACGTGCTAACGTGTGAACAGTGGGCAAAAGGGGAAAACTGAAAGAGTATGTAAGCAGATTCTGGAAAGTGAAATTGAAGGAGTGCCTGACTGGCTCAGTCGGGAGAGCATGCGACTCTTGATCTTGGGGTTTGTAAGTTGAAGCCCCACATTGGGTGTAGAGATTACTTATAAAATCTTTTTTTTTTTTAAGATTTTATTTATTTATTTGAGA